ATTGATTTGATGCCAATGGAGCGGTGAAGTTTGGCTATCAGCCACCTATAAAGTCCTTTTTTGAAGTGGTAACAGAGCAAACTGCAAAAGGATAGCCGGCTAATAACATCCAAGATAAGGGCTCCAGCTCCTTAACCTTTTGTACTGAGTGTGAATTTGAGGGGTGCACAAACCATGCATGTTTTTCGAGTGTAATAAATATGACATAATCATCAGCCTTTTTTGATGCATTGCTGGATGAATGCTTCTCCAAAACTTTGCCGTAAACTTCTGTATTCTGCAGTTTTTATTCATCTTGATCCAATTAAGTTCTTTAGAGTATCCTGAATTCCATCTGCAAGTCTTCATGCTGACAGTTTGTTGTCTTTTGGAACCATTCTGATGTCACTCTTGTACAACGATGTTCTATTCTTTTGCGCGACGTGTTTTGTCCATTGCCAAAATAATTATTTAAAAGATAAAACAAAATATGCAGACTGTTAAATGATAGCATGATCGTCATATTCAGTTTGCACGATTCTTGTAGCGCTGATAGTGCTGTGTTCATGAAGGGTTGTCGTTTGTGCAGGGTGTTAAAACTTGTAGTACCATTTTCTCCAAGCCATCGCCACTTCTCACGATGTTACAAAAAATACCTTCGTGTTTGCTCTTAAATATATCCAGCAATGGTCATACAGAGTATTAATTTAGAACTCATGCAGGTTTCGTAAGATTCACAGCAATATGCCTTAACACTACGTCTCGAATGCTTCATTGTGTTCTGCACATGTGCTGATCCAATAATAAAACGTTCGTATCTGTTGCTTGCACAGATTCAAGGTAGAGACCAACGAAGTTAACCTTGCACAGTTTCTGCTGTTTGACTTGCAGCGGTCAAAATTATTTTCGTCTGTCCTGTATCAATAAGTAAAATAATATAGTCGTTTTAAGTCAGGTTTGTTGTCACTTTTAAGAACAGATGATTTACTGATAAGTGATTTTCCTATTGTGAGGATACTGATAAGCTGTTATTGACTTGATGAGTTGTTACTATTGCTGCTTGGCTTTGGTGCACTGTACGGTATAGTACGCAGACTCTAGAAATGTGTTGTTCTTGTCTATAGTTTTGCGTTTTAGAAGATAGCGATTCGGAACTCAAAGACTTTCTGCCGGATGAGGCTGAAGAAGCCAACAGTGGTTCTCGCCGATCTTCTGTATCGTCCTCTTCCTCGAAGTCGATCTATGACTATTTGACGGAAACACGGTCTTTGCCGACTTCAAACGAAGTTAAAAGCTCGAATCGGAGTTCTGTAGGTAAATGTTGCCAAATCTTTGGCCCGTAGCTGGTCAAAATCTATAGTGAACGTTTCAGAGTTTGAGAGGGAGTACAGTATCGCTGTCTCTGAGAGCGAAACTTCATATTCGGACGAAGAAGATGCGGAATTACGTCTTTTGTCGTCATCGTCGAAGCAGGCGTCACTGAAGTCCGTTTCTTTTAATGGAGGCAGTGACATGAGGGAAAATTCTCAGGTGTCTCCGTCATCCACCGACTCTCTGTTTAATATGGAGTTTCAAGAAGAGATGACGCCAATTGGATCGTCTTCTTTGAATCCTCGGTCGATCTTTTCATCCAGCAGCGAAAGCGCGTTGAACAACTGTTCACGGAAAAAGTCATCGGGCGGCGCTGACAATAGCTCACTTTCTCACGGCGCTTTCCTCCAGCAGAGCGGTTCGTTCGATGTCAAGTTGGATCCAAGGAACCAAGAAATAGATGGTACGGTTCACAGCGACTTTGAGCTGCTTGAGCCTGATTCAGACAGTAGCAGTAACAGCAGCTGAGCTCTTTCGTTCGTGCTAGATGTATGCCGTGCTGTTGTGCGGCCAGCAGATTTCGTATCAGGTCAGCATCTTCTGACTGGCGCTACCTCACGCAGCGGTTGTACTAGCGGCGCTGATGTTCCGTAGACGGAGAAGCTCCGTGTCGGCTGGCTGCTTGAACGTCGGTAGCGAGTGTTTTACGATCAACCATGGCCGTTTTAAAATAATTTTCCGCCTGTTTGTGCAATTAGTGGATTTTGTCTGCGTGCCGCAAAGTCGACAGCGCTGGATTGTGTTTTTGCAAATGTATTTTGATCATAAAGTCTGTGCGTTGCTTGCTTTACGACAGAATCTCGCGAATGGTACAGTCTTATTTTTTCCTTGCTGTTTACGTTGAAGTAAAAGTGTTTGCTAACTCTGTCTTGACGAACAATACTGTAGAATTGTATGATTTTCTATCGCTGCTCATGGTTTGTACGATGATGTGCCACTTGTTAATGGCTTGTTAATATTGTACCGGTAATATACAATAAGCATATATATGCACGCGAATTGCTGACATCACGTGTATCGAGATAGTCCGTAGTACAGAGATATGCGAGAGAACGTTGGTGCCCAGTCGCTGCTTCTCCGGATTGAGAAGTCACATCTGTGATGGACTTACGAATGCTTCCAGAAAGGAAGGTGAAAGTTATATGTATAGTCGTTCTTGCACGCGGAATGGGTTTTCGGTCATTGCTTATGGCCATAGGTGAAGGTGGGAATGAAGATCGATTTGAACACCGAGAACTTATTCTTCAGAATCAGCTTTGCCGTAGGCACAGTAGTTCTGGATATTTCACGTAGAATGCTACTGGCTACTCTACTCTAATCCGCCAGTCGATTTCTTCCTCCTATTTTCCTTCACCAATTAGCGACCCTGAGTTTCGTGAACTTTTTACTAGTTCGGTGCTTCTCCGTCCATCTGAAGAGAGCAACGGGCAGAAGATGCAGGAAACACTAGGTTTTTCGATATAGATACGTGCACACGCATTCCTTCCATGTCGCACTCGGCTGCGAAACGTTCCAGATAGCCCTGTAGATCAGTTTCAGAAAATTCTAAAAATAACAATGTTGTCAGCACCCGCCAAACTTTTCTTCTCCACACTATTCTATCCATGTACAACACACGGGAAGTGAGACATCGCTACGTTGGCGGACAAGTATGTCAATTCTGAAAGGTCTCGACTTAACACTCTACTCCGATGTGGTACCCGCTGTCAACATATAGTGACTGGAGGGGTCGTAGCAACTGACCATCGAACCCACTGTTGGCAGGCACGTCCATAGTTTGTTGCGCCGGATCCCTTCATAGGCTTTCTCTTGGTCCAAAACGCACAGTAATCAAAATGAAATTGTATTACGAAATTCAATTCTTTGACAACGGTACTGTACTTATATTATGCACAGCTATTTATTGATATATAGCATAATGGTCTGAATCGCGGTTGATGAAGCTGACGCTGACCGTTGTTCAATTATATGGACTTAAAGCTTCTACAGCACGCTAACAATAGCCAGTGATCGGCGCCAAAACGGCACTCCATAATATCGTAGATTGTCACTGTCCCTTATTGCCACGAACATAATTGATTGTGATAACTATGCTCTCCATGTGCTAGGTGTTATCAATGGTGGCAGGACGAGTGAATGGCAGGGTTGAATTAGACGTCAAGCGTATTTCATCATGGTGGCAGAGTGACTTAGAGATTGGCGCTCGATTCCATCGGAACACCAATCTGTGTTTTATCTACAAATTTCCTTGAGCAACGAATTTACCATACTTTTCTTCAGACAGGTTGCTCAGAAGGTAGATCGCCAGACTCTCTTTACTGAGAGGTTCCCGAGTTCGAGACTATGTGAGAAGGAAACAGGCGAGTAGTCACTATGCTTGTCACGTAGCTGTTGTCGGCTTTACCATTGAAATAAGGCACTCGTAGCTGGAAATGGAGATATGATTCTCCACCATTAACTACATGAAACCAAGGGCGCCAGAGGTGGCCCCGTAACTGAAACGTACGAAAGGCTGACTGTCCTTAGAAGTGCATGAAGCACAAACTAAGATAGTCATAAAATTATCGGTTAACCAACGATTGCATATGAAGTACCAACAGTTACATATGCATTTGCCTTAAGACACTTAGAGTAATCCATGTGTAGAGTGCAGCTGTACAGTTCCATTCATGATCTGCTGACACTAGTCGAGTGTGTGCAACACGGATGTGAGAATAGGGCTACACGTCTGTAAGTAGACAATGAATATCAATGTACGTACGGGGTTCCAAAACCGACGATTGCTATGGAATGGTTCGGTGTTAGAAGAAATGTTCTTTCTCAAGCACCAGGGAGCAGTTTTAGCTCAAGGGGGTGGAGGTAAATACAGGTTTGAAATTAACTGTCCCTTTTGCAGCCACCTAATTTGGGAAACTGGTTGATGTGTTCAAAATACAAGCAAAAAAGACAGAAACGGGGATCTCGTTTACGTATTCATATGCAGCTTGAAAGCATTTGTTTTCAAGTAAGGTTTAGAAACTTTTCTCTACAGCTTCGAACAAGGCAGTCTTATCATATATATATGAGAAAAGCAATAGTCAGCGCAATCAAGAACCAAAGGCCTGAGAAAATTTACAGAAGAAACTGTAAAGGAGGCAAATAACATACCATGCTTGGTTTGATAAAAGGACCTTGAATTTTTATATCACCGAGAAGCGTAAAATAAACGAAAAATTTATGAAATACAATACAGTTATTTAATAAACACACAGATCCATCACTTCTCTGAAGTAGAACTGCCTGGGATGGAGAGTACGGTAAAGAAGTTAACTTAAAGTTCAATATATGCAACAGTTTCAAAGGAGTAATATATTGCCATCACATTGGATAATGGATTGGATACTGCTTTTCAAGCTGTTTTTCCATTGACGATGATCACATCCACCTTAAGTATGAACGACGCCCTATGTAAGTGCATGATGAAGCTTATGTTGTGAAGGGAGTCAAGTTGTGATGTTCCCTTACTACCACAATACGGAACAACATAAGGAAAAATATGGCGCAGTATATGCTATGCTTAAACGCAATTGCGATATTCATAAAGTGACCTGAACTCCAGACCCGTCGTTAAGGAACTGTCGTAGCAGGAAACCAGCTTGAACAAAGCCCTTAATTCAGTCATGTACTTCAGAAAGACGATTCAGAAACTCAGGACGAAAGGAAGAATGATGTAATCTGTTCACGTAGTGCCTACAGTCTGAATGGTGGATAACAGCCCAAGAAGAAGATTAACGGAACACGCGGGATACGCTGTATAAAGGATGTCAAGGAATAATCGAATTAAGTAAACAATCCCGACCGTTCAGTTGGATCTGATTACATATCATTTGTGCATCACAATTCGTAGTGCCTACAGAATGTCTTACGACCAGATTCTTTACCTTATTTATTAGTCATGTTTGGAGCTACTGTTGTAATATGCGTAATAAGCAGATAAAATAAAATTTCCGACCATGCTTTATTCGAAATTTTACTGAAGAATTACAATGGCGAAGCCAAAGTAACGAAAAGTGCCACTGGCATAACAATAACCGCTACTATTCATGTATCGTTAGTAGTAATAGGGCATTCCCATTCCCATTCCCATACCCATACCCATTCCGAGCCGTTCTTCTCTCCGTTCAGCGTCCATAATTTGCCGGTCCTCACGTCGTTCGTCTCTTCTCATCTGACGGTTTTCGATCATTCGGTCCCTGTCAAGTTGTCGGTCCAGTCTGCCCTGTGGGCCGACCCCTGGATAAAATCCACCGCCATAGTCGCCGAAATACTGTCGTCGTGTTCTCGTGCCTACACATCAACCGTATCATTCTTATAGTACCTACCGTCGTGTTGGAATATCGTCAACTTGCCTGTGCCGGTGTCCTTCGCTCCCAACGTGCACCCGGCGACAAGTAGCACAGCTAAGATGTGCAGGTAGAGGTGCATCTTTCACCGCTCATGCGACTAGTGCTGATTCAGAGACTAATTCAGGCTTTACTGTTCGAACGGCTTTTATTTCGTGGATGTGGTACTTTTTCCAATCAGTCTTAGTCACTGCTCCGTTGACCATTGCGTTGCAGTCGTTAATCGTGAGATCACGAATCTGATCACGCAACGATCCGTATCCTCAGAAATGGCGTAGTGACTTTTGACAGCCGCAATTCTTCACTCAGTAAATTGAGGAAAAACTTGTAGCGGTTGGAAGAAATTTTCCGGTTCTGCCGCCCCCGTCACAAGACCTATTAGGTTACGAGCGTTTCCAGAGGCTCCAAAAAGCCCCACATACAGGTCCGCAATCTCATAACTTCGAATGATAGCGTTTACACTAATTTCGCATATTCATGTGACGCTTCGATATGTTCTGAGTTGTTCACAGAATTCATAATTAATGAGAATTACAGTTGCCTACTATCGACCTCCGTACTCGTCTGCCTTGTGTGATCTGTCGTCACAAGCGTTCATCACATCCTTCTTTCTGTGTGTGCAACTCCTTGGGCACCAATGCCATCTCCACTAAACCCACTGTTTATCCGCTAGACGTGAGGTACAGTCCGTCGATGCGACTAGTGTTGCACGCTGGGGCCGAGGAGATTTCATTTTTTGTTTGTGTTTTACATTTTGGTGTTCGATATTGAAAATCGTTTTGGCTACTGTGCACTCTCACCAGGTGATTTAAACAGAACTTTCGTTGGCCCTTAATCCGGGAAAATGGGGCTGTAAGTGATTGATGGTTCTATGAGTCTTGGCCGGTTCAAAGTTTCTGTTGGTGAACTCAAACACAGCCACTATTTTTTCTCCTCACTACCGTCAACATAAACATCATCCCCATAATGAAATTTAGGAAAGAGCAATTCAGTAAGTAACTACGGAAGATTTTTTTGACAAGAAACGGTATTCATATGGTTTAATCGCTTTCAGAACGCATAGTCAATGCACATAGCGCTTTCATTAAGAGTTGCGTATAAAACATGGTAGTTCATCATTTAATTTGGCTTAATCAGAATTTATTATTATTTAATATTTATTTTCCGGAAACGGATTCCGCCGCAGGTCCCATTCCATTACCGGGCAATCACTGCCTGCCTTGAGGTCTTGAAGGGGATGAAAGGCGTTTGTCAATCGGATAATAGCCACTTCATCGTTATCAAGCTTCTCGACTCCGCGAGTGGTCGAATATTGGATGGCGAATTGCGATATGGATTGTTACGATCATAAACTTGATCATAATTTACACAAACAGGATGTTTCTGCCTGTGACGTCCGCGGTCTTCTCAGTTTTTCAATGTTGCTGCTATAACACATCAGTTACTGCTTCATTCTTTTTACCGTAATGGGCGATCCTCAGGCTCAAGTCGATGTCTCTATTTTTTTTCTTTCCTGATCATTCATAACGAATAGTTGTTCGGTAGTCCATTTGAGTGGTTAAACCATCGTAAACTCTTGACAATATCTCTGCGTATTTCATCCGCCTCAGCGGATTTAAAGAAGTGGAGCAGTTTATAGGGTTTAGGATGGCAGCAAATCGTGGCAAGTGCCGGGCAGCAATCGTCTGAAAGTGCAGGAGCTGGTTCCTGCGTTACTTCCAGGTCTTCATTCAGCAGCTGCGCTGCATCATGGAAAGAGCAATTGTACCCTGAATGCAGATCTGCATGCTTGTTGAGGCTTATATCAGTTATCTAGACTTTCGAAATTGGTCATGAATTGAAGATGCAAATGGCTTTCATGCGATTTGCCAGCAACTTTTCTGGTGACTGACCGAATTAATACGGTAAAAAAAACATATTTTTCAAGGTATGAGTCTATCTTCACCATAGGCAAGTACTCTCTCCTTGTCTGTTCATAATTTCTATGGACTGGGTTAACAAACGCAGCGTAGAGAGCTTAACACTTTGAGAGGCTCGACTGAGTCACCTGCTGCTTGCAGATAATTTTCTGATATGTGCTTCCTTCTAAGCTGATCTGAGAAGTATCCTTGGTAGGTTCGTTGCCAGATGCGATGAAGGCAATATGAAAATCAGCGTGTGCAACAGCGCTCATGATTGACGTGAAGGAAAACTCGCAAATAGGCACACTGAGCCATTGGACAAGCGCGGTGGCCTGAGACTGAAGCCGATTATAGATGATAAACAAAGAGCGGATAAAAATGTGAAGCCATCTGTCTTCCAGTCATTTTAAACTTTTACTCTCATCTGGGGTCATAAATGCTGCATATTGGCCGAAAGATGTTTAACCTTCCAATGCAAGACATCCTCGTTTATTAGCCTCCACTTTCCTCCAGACGGAAAAGCAGAACTGCGACGTTTTGGACCAGTGATAAGGATGTCAGTGGAGACATCTGTAAGACGCACTCTCTCCTTGCAGAAGATGGAAAATGGAATGAAGAGCAGATGACGGACAAAATGGTTGAACCACGTGAAAGAGTTGTCATTGACGCTCCTTGGAATCTACCTTAAGGTGTTTGTAGGCAACTGTTTCCATGACTTCAAAAATGTACCCGCCAAGGAAGAAAAATCAGTGGCATTGGTGTGAAGCACAGCGGTATTTTATATTCCAAATATTAACGTTCTACCCGCTGTCTGAAGTGGAATTCATCTCATGAGTAAGTTTGCTGTTTAAGATAACTAATGTTCGTACAAAATGTATGTTCGGTGTGATTTTAGCAAATACAACTTACCATAATGCTAATCATTCAGTGAGATATGACTCATGATAAATAATATTGGCTAAAAAATAGCCGTTAATTTTTTTTATTAAATTCATGCTGTCATAAACAGAGCAAAATCCGTCCAGTGCACTGACTCAACATTAGGGTTTTGAACGCAACCGGTTCTTATCCTATCAAACCCATCAGGCCGCGTGCCAGATTAGCAATGCCACCCAGCGCACGCAGGCCACCGAATCCGCCACCGCGAAGACCGTAGCCTCCATAACCGCCGTATCCTCCGTAATCGCCATATCCGCCATAGCCTCCGTATCTACCAAGGCCGTTCATTCCGTACCCTCCGTATCGTCCATAACCTCCGAGACCTCCGAATCGGTCAGCACGAAGCAGTTGTCGATCCAACCGACGACGGTCATCGAAAAGCTGTCGATCGAATATTCGTTCATCGCGCATCAGTTCGCGATCCAGCCGATCTCGAAAGTGGCGGCGTACCCTTGGGATCCCATTAACTGACAAAAAAGGCATGAACGTGGTAGCGAAACTTTTCAGCTGCTTAAAATGAACACCTACCATCGGGATCGAAGCTATCTTCGCCGAAAACGACGCTGACTAAAATAAACGCAGCCAGCAATGGTTTCCAACTATCCATTACCTTTCGGTAACCGACTCTGCCGGTCTCTCTTGTGCACAGAAAACTAACTCTGGTTTTTTCTGATTAAATCTTTGTTAATAGTAATCTCGAATATATTCATTTCGTTCTGAAGAAATCGCTCTGAACCGGTTTAATTCGATGCTCTCATTTCTGACTTTCGGTAAAATGTCTTGTCGTTAAATAAAATGTTTTCAGAAATGTATTTCTTCACGCACAAATTATTTTGTAGACGATTGTCTGAAAATACAAGCCGTGTCACTGACTGAGCGACTGTTCCAGAATCCAGCCGATTGTTCATTGATGGAAGCGTTTACAACGGGCCGCATATCAGATTCATCTACCGTCGACTGAACGACCCTGAGCTGCCACGAGAGGCGTGAAGGACTACCACGGACGAAGAAGCGATTGGCTGAAGAAACAGTGTTAACGAAGGTGCTAATGGAATCCTCCAAGTGCTGTGCCTTCGATTAATTTTAGTACCAGACAATGTGGTGTGCTATTAGATAGTATTGAATTCCACAGGCGATTGGTTAACATTTATTAAGCGTGTATGAAGGGACATAATTTAAAGGTTCATATTCAACTCTACACAGGTGAAACTTGTAAAAGCGTAATGTTCTCCTCTGTGCTGTTCAGTACGGTGTGGACTTTTGGTACGCTACAGAGCCGTCCTGAACCGCAGTGGTTGAATGATTGGTACTCAGCGATGCAGCTCAATCATACCTAAAGTATTCGACGATATTTCTAACATACCGCGCACAGTATTGAGTGGCATCGTCTTGCTGAGCGATTCTGCCAGTGGTTGTACAAACGCTCTCGGCATGTTAGAACGCAATGCGGATGTGGGATGAGGGTAACAAGTCAACGCTGGGAAAACATACAGTATGACTGCGCCCGTTTAGACACAGTCATACGATACATTGAACGATGTGGCGACCGAGGCAATGAACCGCGTCAAGTACCTCAGAATCTGGTTTATCAGTGATGGCAGTTGTGATGCAGAAACGTATTAAGTGAATTGGACCGGTGTACGACCGAGGATTGACAAGCAGGATGAAACGAGGAACGACCAGGTTAAATAAGAGTCTGAAATTGTCGCCATATGGAAAACAGCCGTACGATCAGTGGTTGTGTGCACTCACGAAACACGTTTGGTCTTAAAATGCCAAGAAGCTCATATGATCAGCCTTCAGCAACGTCTTCTGCATTGAATCCTCAAAATCAATTTTAAGTGAGGAGTGAGCAGATAGTGATCGATAGTGATCCGAAGAAAGGTGACAGAGGAACTGGGAAACCGGCGTGGTTTTATAAAACAGGTCCAATAAAGAATGATAATGTCTAAAGTATATGACAAAAAAGAAGCAGAACCAGGTTTGAACTTAAATTTCTTAAATAATTTACTGAACTACATACACTTTCAATAAATACAATTTTGCATCATAACACGAACTTAACGATGGCCAGTTCGTGTGGACCGATGGTAATTTTAGCGTTCATATCCCAGGCATCTCAACGTATCATGAGGTACCTCAATCACATGGGGTTTAGAGTCTACTACAAGACTGGTAGAACACTGGACGAGATCTTATTTGAAAGGTACTTGAAGATGTGTCACATGTTAGATACAAAGTTCACTGCTGCGATTGCGACAAGGTGTAAACTGGAAAGGCCAACCGAAAGTTGAACATCAGAATAAAAGTGGACCGCAACTTTCTGTAGTCCGCATGTGACAGACAGGCAACTTCGGTATTGCCCAACATGCGATTGCTGAAGGATATTCTTTCAGTCAGATCAATGTGTCTGTCATAGACAAAGACCAATCTAAATTAAGTCTACTGATAAATGAGTCCTTGCATATGCTGGCAATGAAAATCCGGATGCGCAATGAATACTAACTACTTTGTGCTTATTAGCAAAATCTGGGGGGGGGGCGATTGAAAAATTGAAACGATCGTTTTAATGAGAGATTTACACTGGTTTGTTGATTAGCACTCTGGCCATTTAGTTAAACAACATTTTGATTGTTCGCTTGTTGGGTATGAGCCTTCAAGCATTCATTCATACTTTGTCTTGTCCAGATCATGCAACGGCTTCTGCAGCGAAACGCGGCAGGAATAAAGTGTTGTCTGTCTATTGTATTTGGTGCCCTGAGCCATGAATCGTTTAACTTATTTAAATAAATAAACTTTCTTACAAAAGGAAATAAACGTAACCCCGATGTTTTGGAATAGACTTCAGAAGCGGGAGCTTTTGACAACGCCGTCAACACATGATATTAAAATAGATGGTATTGGATTTTAATGGCGAAAACGTAGTGTAAAGAAAGAAAATTTCATTTCTTACGTTA